GGTCTGTGGTATCTCAAGCTATCAAGAACTCGGTAGAACTCGGTAGATACTGTTCAATGGTTCTCAAGTTCAAGGATTGCTCGCGAAGATGCCAATTGCGTATTAAGTGACCTACGAGTGGGGACTCTCCTTCCTTATTTAATATTTGTAGTAAGTAGTACATGTTCGAGATAACGATATTTATTATATGATGCTATCAAAAAAAAAAAAGCAATTAGAGCGCATCTGCAACGAGAAATTTGGCCATTTTTTAAGCTCGAATCCATTGAAATCTATTCTGTATGGAAGGTGGGGCCATCCAAAGTTCTCGTTGTGCGCAGATGCGCTCTATTGCGGCTGGTGTAAAGATATCTAGACGCTTGTGATGCTTGATCTTTGGGGAACTACATATGGAAGTATCAAATATGTTCAAGCTATAGAGAGTTCGGACCGATATCGACGTATGTATGTCGTGAGTTTGAATACATAGATGTTTTTCCTGACTTACCAAATTAGTTACTGTTCTCAAGTTGGGGTTTTATTTGAAAATCTCTTTCTTTTGTTTTTCTTTTTTGCAGGAACCGGGACTCGGACAGGAAAGCTCGATCCGACGAGAATTTTTCACTTTAGCTTAGCAGGCCTCGTTGGCGTAGTGGTAGCGCGTTCCACTTGTATGAAGTCTTTGAGTCAGTTGCCTTATACAATGGAAAGGTCACTCGTTCAATCCGGGTACGAGGCATTAGAACGCTTTTTTCGTTTTAGTTGACACGAGAATGCCATGGTGTTATTAATATTAGTTGGATGGAGAGGATATGTCTTGTGGTTTTCGTGTCATTTTTTGACAACAATCAGAACTTAGTACTTGGTGCTGACACTAGCGCTCCATATCTCCGAGAATCAAGTGATCAATGATATGATGCTTTTTTTTTCTTGTTTCGTTTTACTTCTTGTTTGATGGATGGATGGATGGATGGATGGACGTGTGATGTGGGGAATCACTATGATCAGACATTCCCGCTAGACGCTTGGGATAAGTACGGCTCATCTGCCAAAGACCTTGCACATATTTCCGAAGGTGAACGTTTGAACCAGAGCTTGGCACTTTAAGCGGCTGGCTGCGGAATTCGAGCCGGGCGCTACCGATGGCTAAAAAAAACAATTGCCGGAGACTCCGAATCAGCTGATGACATCAGCCGCTGTTGTATCAAATCCGAACCGAATTTGATTCTGTCCAAATCTGCGCAAAAACAAATTAATTATTCGGGAATTGTTGTTGACCCGAACCACATCGGTCCAACTCTGAAGGCGCCGCCTTGGTTGAATTCCTTCTTTTCTCTTACCGCCCGCTGTCCAACTCTAGCACTAAGAACGCCCACAACGCATTGATCGTTGTCAAATTATACGTCCCGCACATTCTTTTCCTTATTCCATTCCTTTTTTCCAAGCCCCAAAAAGAAAGTATATGTCACTGTCATGAGTGACTCAGTATCAACTGTCTTAAGTGGGTGTCATTCTACATTCTAATGATTTATTTGATACTGAACAACATAGATGGGCTTACTGGTGCTCCAGAGTGAGTTTTCTCTTCATATACGAGTACATATCTTTGAGCAAATGTTTTTCTCTCGTACGTTTTATCTATCTATCAAAGCCCCTCTGCGTCCGACCCAGCACCCCCGACGACCAACCCTGCGGACGGTGGTACCGAAACAACTACAACCCAACCGGCTGAGACTACACCAGAGGCGACTACGACTCCTCCCGACCCCGGTACCACTACGAGCCCCACTGACAGCACCACCACTGACCAGAACGCTTCTACAACCACTCCTTCCACGGACACTACTACCACCTCCGACACTACATCTACTCAACAGGACACTGCCTCTACTACTACATCGACTTCTCAGACTACGACCGATGCTGCAAACACGACTCCTCCGTCCACACCAACGGCTTCGTCGGTAGATACTATCGGACAGACGAACAATGGCGGAGGAACGGTGACAAGGACCGCATTTGCTACTTCTCCGAGCGATGGTGTCGACGCGGGGACGGGAACGGGAACGGCGACCTTGGGAAGCTCGAGTGGTGCGAGTAAGGACTCGGATAATTCGTAAGTTTTTGTTTTTTTTGTGCTCTCTTTCTGTTATTTTCTTTTTTTTTCCCCTTCGTTTCTCGTGTTGTACCCCTTCTTTTTCGCAACCTTGTTCGTGCCTCTGGGATCCCTTGACTGTGATCGAGTTTTTACTCGAATTTTCTTCCTCGAAACCTTTTTTCTCGCCGACCCAGGTGACATTTCCATACATACCCTTTACGAACCCTTCTTTCGTTTTTTATTCTTCGCTGCCTGCCATGGCCACGTCTTGCTTTAAAATATTCGTACTTTGTGGTATACGGTTCCCTTCTCCCTTTCAAACTGCGCCTACATCAAAGTACTTCACTTGGCCAAACAAAAAAAAAAAGCTTCTTTGACCCCCTCCTCGGGACCTTCATCATGCTCTTCCCATCTTCTTCTTCCATTCCATTCCATTTCCATCTCCGTTCTTCCCTTGTCCACTTCGTTCTCCGTGGCGATTCGAGTTAGGACCCGCTTCTCTTCACTGTCAAATCTGTTTGTCACCTGTACTTTTCTTTTTTTTAACTCCCCCTCCCTCCCTCCCTCCCTTCCTCCTTCCCAAATCAAATCAAATCACCCTGATCGATTTTTTTCCCACTTCCCTTCTGTTTTTAATCTGTCAAAAACTCAAACTGCGGCTCAATTCTTTATTCTTATTCTCGTTCCTGTCACTCGTTTTCTGTTTTTCCGTTCTATTCTGTTCTGTTCTGTTCCGACTCGTTGTCTTCTACGTTCCTTCTTTTTTTTTTTTTCATACATCTATACTTAATTTCAAACCGTACCCTTCTTTATTCACTGCACGGGTCCTTTTACTCAATTCTACGTTTGTTTCTCCCTTCCTTCCTTTGTTTCCTTTGTTCCCTTCTTCCTTTCTTTCGTTCCTCAAACCATGCATGCATGCAATGCAATCCATTCATTCATTCGTCTGATTTATCTCTTTCTTTCCTACTTTCCGTTCTAACCATGGGATCAACAAATTCCAAAAATCATTTCAAATCAATTACATCTCATCTCAAATCTTGAATTGAACTGACCTCCCCTTTTCCCATCTCTTTCCCTTTCTCCTTTCTGAAAACAAACTAACAAACAAACAAACAGATTCTTCTCCAACACCCCAGCTGTAATAGCCACCTTCACCGTCGCAGGAATCGTAGGACTCGTCCTTCTCGTCTCGCTCGTTACCTATGCTGTTCGTCGTAGGAGAGCTTCGAGGCTCGATAAAGACATGGACATGGATGACGCTTATGGATCCGAAGTGTGGGGACCTACGAGAGGGTTTCCTAGTGATAGAGGATTCGATGCGGATGCAGCTCTGGGTTTCAGTAGTGGTAGCGGTGGTGGTGGTGGTGGTGGATTGGGAACGAACAAGAGGTATCTGGACGAACCGATAAGCGGTGGTGGTGGTGGTTTAGGTGGAGGTGGTTTAGGTGGAGGTGGTTTAGGTGGAGGAGGAGGGTTGAATAGAAACAAAAGCGGAGCGATGAGGAATATCTTGGATGATGAGGACGAGGACGAGTTCCACGTGGGTCCTGGGACTGGTGCTCCTGGAGGTCCAGGTGGACCAGCTGCGTATCTAGCTGTAGGCGCAGGAAACAACAATAACAACAACGGTGCTAGTATCCCAGGAACGCCTTATTCAGCTGGTGCAGGAAGCACGTCTTCGCATGGAACGTTTGGAGCGTTCAATCAGCCTCCGATGATGGCTAGCCATGGTCCGCCTGGAGAGGTGTATCAGATGTCGGCAATGGGTGCTTCTACTGGTGGTGCTGGCGGAGGAGGAGGAGGAGGAGGAGGTGGTGGTGGTGGTGGTGCAGCAGGAGCGTATTATGATTACCCACAAGGTCCTCAGGGTCCTCAAAACCAGATGTCAACGACGACGATGTATAGTCAATATCCAGATGGAGGTGCTTCAGCGTCGAGTGCTGCTTTGCTTGGAGGAGGAGCAGCAGGAGCTGCCGTTGTTGGTGCTGCGATCCCTAGATCCCATTCTCAATCTCAACCTCGGTCCCAGGTTCAAGATCAAAACGCGAATAACAGGTACTCGGGTGCTTGGTCTTCTTCGAATCACAGTCATGGACCTGGTTATGGACCTGGTTATCAAGGTTATCAAGGTTATGGATATGGTGGGCCGGGGATGTATCAGAACCAGGTACAGGGGCAGTATCTTGTGCCAGGTCAACAACAACAACAACAACAACCGCAATCGCAACAGATGGGCATGGGCATGGGTATGACTGGTGCTCCTGCTGGTCTTGGTCCCGGTGCTCCTCCTCGACCGCAGTCCGACTACGGAGGCTACGATCCCTATGGGGGTTTTGAGCCTGGTAACACTAGCGGATCATATTATGACAATAACAGCGACAACGGAGGAGGAGGAGCCCACAGCGATTTGCTTTCAGCTGCTGGTCTTGGTCCTTCATCATCATCACCTGGTGGGGGGACTCTAGACTCGTCGACAGCGTCTCAAAGAGAAGCTGGACCGTTACCTTCGAAAGCTCAACTCGCCGCTGCCGAAGCTGAACGAGACGCGATGACGGCGGGATATCCAGTATCTTCACCTACACCTCCTCCTTCGTATATGCTTCATTCACCTCATCCTCCACCGTCTACTACTACTACTCCTGTCTCTAACACCACGACTACGACTACGACGTTGGGGTACGGACCCTCCGCAGGTGAATCGTACGCGTCGCATTATCAAGTCATGGGGAGGAAGAGTTCGACTGGACATAGTAGCGCCAATGGACATAGTCAAGCCGCGGCCGACAGCAGCAGCAGTAGACCTGGGAACGGGCGTAAACCTTCTTATGGGAACGCTGCCGCAGCTGCTCTTCTGGCTGGAGGAGGTGGGAATAATAGAGAGAGTATGTATGGTTTAGGCTTAGGTGCGGGAGGGATACCGAATCCGTTCTCGAAGAAGGTGGATTATGAAGATGAGGACGAGGATGATGAGGGGGTGTCGGCGGAGAGTTATGGGGGGAGGAGGCAGTTGAAGGTTGCTAATGAGTGAGTGAGGAAGGACAGGAAAGGAAGGAAGAGGCGTGTGAGAGAGAGATGAAGAGAGAGAGGTGTTGAGTCGGCCAAGTTCAGGAGAGTCGCAGACGGGAAAGAAAAAAAGAAAAACAGTATATTTTCGTTCCCGAACATACATCCATACTGTGCAGCTGCATTTATACACTCGATCATAACATTTTGATACCACTGATCATGATCAGAGATCATCGCCATCAACATCTTTGCTTTGCTTGCTCTCTTGTTACTACGTATATGTTATCCGTTTTTTTTTTGTTACCTTGGTTATAGTTATGCATATCGATATCAATGACCAGTAGACTACCATCTTTCGAATCCAAATCTAGACCTCAGTTTACTTTAGTTATTTGTTCGAGAAAATCCCCGACAGTACAATTGCTTGTGGATTTCTAGTCTGTATATGTATGTGTTTCTTTTTCCCGCTTTTTCTTTTGCTGTGTAAGTAATGAAATCGTCAGTTGGCTTGAGTCATAGAACCTTGGATAAAATTAAGTATTGTGGAATTGGATAGTGTACAATTGAACGAGGATTCGGTTGAACGGCCAATCTGTAGCCATCTACTTCGTCGGTCTAACACAACGGAATGA